TCATCTTCTTCAACAATAAATTTACTGAAAAATTTAGAGATTTGTCCAGATGAAGAAAATCACATTAAATATATACATAAACCAAAAAAGGAGGCTTGATTTAAAATGACAGTTTGTCAGCTAAGTTAGGGTTAAAATGATTCAATGATGATTGTCTTCAGTTGCTACTAACAAGTAATAACAAACTACAATTTCTGATTAGAAAATGATAACATTCTCAATACCATATTAAACCACAAAGAGCAACAGCTCTTCTTCAAATCCTCAATTTTTATTTTTCACCTTCCCAAAGCCAAAATGTCATCTTTTTTGGGTAAAAGAAAATCAAAGCCAAATGGTAAAATTGCAAAGATTTGGTTAAACAAACAGTCAGAATTTCAGTGGTTTTATCTGCAGCATGCCCAGCAACCAAACAAAGCCAAGATATTGTCCATCTCTTTGACAGACAAAGAGCCTCAGAGGTCCAGAGTGACATGCCCGAAGGCTGGCACGTGATTGGGCTAATTAAATTAAATAGCAGGAAACAGCTTTTCCATATGCCACTGCCTGGCCACACGCAAACTGTAACAGTAAATCTTTTATACTAGTCAAGGAAAAATGTAACCATTAAAAAATATACAGTATCAACACACATTCAAGAATCAGAAGCTGCACATCCACATAAACTCCCTGAGCCTGGACTTTAAAGCCAAATGTCTGAGAACTTCCTAATTCACTTCAAGAGCCATCCAAAAGCCCACAGGAATTAAAAAAAAGAATGAAAAAGAAATGTTCCCCACTCTCTCAAGCATTATCAAAACTTTAACTTAAGCCAATATTCTGATTGCTTTAAGGATACATTTCTATACCAAATTAAATCAAACTTCAACACTCCTTAGTAGGAGTTAAAATCTACTGCTCATTTTCCACCACTTTTATATCCTATCTCCACATTACCCAACTGAAAATTAAGAGATAAATTGGAAAATAATGCGTAAAGCCTTTGGAATCTCTTGAGAAAACTCTTCTCCTATGCTCCCCACAATTTCTCACTCAATAACATAATTTTCTCTAAGTTAGCCACTGTAGTTCTAGGTTTTTTATTTAAGATAACATTATTTTAAATATATCCATACCTCATGTTTCTAGATTTCCCTGGGTTGGTAGGTGCTACTCATTTTTTATCAATCATGGTTTTCATTAGCATTGATTTCCAATGTAAAGAATAGGGACTATGAAATAGTAATTGTCATCTTAGATAAAGAAGCGTTATGATGGAAAAATAAAAATCTTAAGGATCTCAAATTAGAAGGTTGCAAGGTATTCTTAACTTAGAGACACAGAAGATTCAGAATCAGTGCAGACCATGGCTAATCTGTTTAAACAGAAATATTTAACAGAATATATTTCAAATATGTAACATAATATATAAAATGCAAGTGGTACTCAATATTTTTTGGTAAAAATTACATTTATGGTAGCCAGTATTCAGATATTACAAATATTCCATTATTCATGCTTTTCTAACTTGAATTTAAGAATTTTCATTAGATTTATTATTTCTTACTATATGAAAGAGTTGACTTAATGGACCATAATTTAATAAAACTATAGTATATGTAATCTTTTACTACAAAAACACACCCAATTTGTGGAAGTTCAATGTGTGTGTGAAGCGGGGGCGGGAGGGGAGAGAGAGAGAGAGAGAAAGAGAATCTAACTTTTAAACTGATATTTGAAAAGTTTTTGAGAACTAGTCAATATTCTGAACTAGTCAGTTAATCCCATATAATTGTAGGATGACAAAATGTCATCCAATACACATGGGTTAGTAATGCCTGTTCAGTTTGTTTGTGTACTGTGCCAGAAATCAATAAGCAATTATTAATGTTTATTTCCCCATGTCTTCCTTCAGAATTAAAATCTGAATGTAAAGTTAACCAAAATCCAAGAAATTCAAAGCCTAGGAGATAATCGTCAAGCTCTACAGAAGAAGTAACTTGGCAGGAGCCAGTAAGTGACTTGCTTCTAATGTGAAACCAGGCCTAAGAATGTGCTTAGCCAGCTCTCCTCCCCAATAGATGTAATTATCTCTTCACACTTTTACTGAATCCCGTCTCTCTCTCTCCTCATTCTTGCCCCAGGGCTCTAGGCTAAGACTGATAAATCATTGAGGTCATCCATCCCTGTAAACACCAAGAGGACATTCAGTGGAGGCCCAGAAAACTCACAGATAAGTGTGTGAGAGAAAGAATCCGGGTTGAGAGTCAAGGCTACTATAGACCTGCCCTGACAAAACTTAAAATCGTTTTGAAATGCTCAAAGTGATCAATAATTTTTAAGAAAGACAACAAATTTAAATTGTCTGGTGTCTAATAAAAATTTACTAGAAATTAAAAAGAGCAGGAAAACAAGAACAATATTCAAGAGAAAAATTAAGCAGTAGTAGCAAACACAGAAAGTCAGAGACAGTAGAATCTGCAGAAAAGGACTATGTGCATATTATAAATATATTCAAGGACTTAAAGGAAGCACAAATATAAGGAGGATACAAATGGAAAATATATTTTAAAAAACAAATGAAATGCCTTGGTCTGAAAAGTACAATATCTTGAAGAATTTTTTGGATGTGAATTAAAGAAGTTTATCCACTAGAAGAAAAGATGAATATGGCAATAGAAACTATACAAACTGAAACAGAGAGAGAAAAAAGAGAAGAAAAAAATTGTGTACAGAGACTTACAGACTGGTGAGACAATATCAAGCAGTCTACTCTAAGTATAACTGGAGTCCCAAAAGAAAAGGAAAAAAAAAAACAATAATAGAAGAAACAATGTCACATTTTCCAAAAACAATAAAAAGTGCAAATCCACAGACACAAGAAGCTCTGTGAACCAAAGCAGGATACAAAGAAAACTGCATTAAAGCAAATCATAATCAAGTTGCCAAAAACCTTTTTAAGAAAATCTTAAAAACAAACAGAAAAATTTACCACCTGATTTTAAAAGTTGCTATAAATCAATAGCAATTCACATTCCATAGTACTGGTGCAAAGTTAAACATCTAGAGCAATGAAATTAAAGGAAGAGTTCAGAAATTTGCTCACACATATGTTCAACTGATTTCTAAAAATGGCACCAGAATAATTCAAAGGAACAGGATAATCTTATCAAAAACTGGTGCTGAAAAATTTGGGTACCTTTGTAAGATAATGAAACTCAGTCTTTCTTTACATCCTACACAAAATTACATGACTCAAAATGGCTTTGCCTTTAATATAAAAAATAAACTAGACAAAGAAAACATAGAAACAAGTCTTTCTTAGATAGGATACTAAAGCACTAACAATTGAAGAAAAATTCAATAGAATGGGACCCATCAAAATGAAAACATTCTGCTTTTCAAAAAAAAAGACAAGCTATGGGCTAAGTGAAAATATTTTCAACACATATATCTAGAAATGGATTGAATCCAGAATTCATGTTACACCAATCAAAAAAACATGCAACATAGCTGAATCAACAATTTACCAAAGAAGATATAGAAATGGCCAACAATCACATGAAAAGATGACATTAAGGGAAGCACAACATAAAAACAAATGAGATTCTACTACATATCCACTAGAATGCATAAAGTTAAAAAATATCTGATAATACCAAGTGTTGGTAACAGGAACTCTAAATACATTGTTGAGGCAAAAAATAATTTGGCAGTTTCTTAGAAAGTTAAACAAACACTTAGCATACAACTCAACAGTTATACTTCTAGATATTTACCCAAAAGAAATAAAGACAAAAAGACAAATGTCTACTAAGACTGGTATAGAATATTCAGAGCAGCTTTACTCGTAATCACCCACACCTGGAAATAACCAAAATTTTCATTGGTAGATGAATATGTAAACAAATTGTGTCACATACATATAATGGGACATTATCCAGCAATATAAATAACCATATTACTGATACACACTTGGATGAATCTAGAAGCATTTTCTGACTGAAAAAAAAATCTAGACAGAAGATATCACAGACTCTTTTTATATGATATAGATGAAATTCTAGAAAAATCAAAACTAATGCATAGCAACAGAAAAGAGGTGAATGGTTGTTAGCCCGGGGCTTAGTGGGGAGTGGGGTGCAAGTGGGACCTCATTAAAAAGGAGCAGGGAACTCTTTCTGGGAAAATATTTCTTTTTACCTATTTCCATTTCTAGAAGAATATTATTTTGAGTAACAACTAACCATTGTGCATATAAAAAGGTATAAAGTATATAGAGATACTTAAAATTTATACGGGGTAAAGAAAATAAAAATAAAGGAATCAAGTTGAATATTTTCACCATTTTGTCAGATGTCTCAAGCAATAAAGCAAATATCAAACCGTTTAAAATATGTACCAGAAAACTGTTAAATTTACTTTAATTCATAAACTATAGAGACTTGATATCACCACCATCATGACCAAAACATGAGTAAGATGCTAAAAATATAATGTGAAGTAAGCTTATTCTTTATCATATTAAATGAAGGTAATGGAGGACTGATGACTATTCAAAATCGGGGAGTAATTTACTTAAAACCAAGAAATCATTGTAGGATTTCTTGTTCCCAGTTGGAACCACTTTGATATTCACCAAACTGGAGATAGGAAAAAAAAAAAAAACCCTACCCCCACTAAGAAAGCTTCTGAGCATTTGTTAAAAAGCAGACACAGAAAAATTTAGTACAGACAGTCCCCAATTTATGATGGTTTGACTTACGATTTTGTGACTTTATGATGGTAGGAAAGCAATATGAATTCAGTAGGAACCACACTTGGAATTTTGATTCTTTCCTGGGCTAGGGAAATGGAACAGAATACTCTCGCGAGATGCTGGGCAACAGCCGTGAGCAGTGATCACGAGGGTAAGCACTCTATACTCTATAATGCAGTGTTAAATGCACTTTTGACTTAAGCTATTTTCAATTTATGTTTATCGAGACATAACCCCATTGTAAGTCAAGGAGCATCTGCACCTTTCTTTCATGCTGACTCCAAAAAACAGACAGAGCCCAATACTGATGTGGTAACAGAATTCCTTGTAGGCTACAGGAAAGGCCAATTTTCTGAGTTCTGCTTCCTGATTGACAGCTTGGCTGCTGATAATGGCGTGGGCATTAACTTTAGAGGAGAGCTGAGCGTAGACAGCGCTTATCCGTAGGTCCTGACCCTGATCAATATATTTTCTTAATTTATTCTTTGGAGTGAAGATCACGTTGATCATTCATACATATAGTTGGTTTAAATTTGATGATTCCTTAGTCGAAATCTGATTTAAAAAAAGAAAATTGGGGCTTCTTTTTAAGGGAGGTAAAGGAGAAGGAAAAGGAATCGAGAGAAAGTAGTGTACTCCAGAATCCCTCAAAGAACATCCCAACCTGAGTCCTGCCCTAGAGTGGGGAAAGGGTTACAGATGAATCCTATTCTAGACGGCCTCCTTCAGTGACCTACCCTGCGTGTCTACCGGCATTTTCTGTGCGTGCTGGCTCATGAAAAGGTGGGGAAGCACTTTTCTAGGGGCGGATTTTTATTTACTGAAGATCGAGTTATTCATTATTAAAAAGTCAAATTGAATGTGAGACAAGTTCTCACCAAGAAGAAATTTCCTAAAGTTCCAGGAAGTTACTGGTAACGTTATTAATAATGATATTAATAGCAACTGCTAATTTTTCATTCTGCCCAATTCTGCTACCACATACGATATTATTTACATGCATTGATCCATTTAAACCTCACAATACCCCAAATTAAAAATTACAAGTGTTAAGCACATTTAACAAACGAGTAAACTGAGGCTGGGCAGAATGAAGTAATTTGCTCCAGGTTGAGTTGCTAATAGATGATGAAGTAGGAACTCCTGAAGTCTGGCTATAGGATCAGCACTGTAACTACTAGGCAGATACATCTGTAAGGTAGTTCCACACATGGATCTCAAAGACAATAAGAAATGCCACTGTTCAAGGCTTGTGCATATGTAGTCAAAACAACACATTAATTTCCATGTCCAGTAATAGTTTTATTTAAATATGCACAAAGATGAGGTCGATTCACTTTCTAAGATTACTATAAATCATTTTGTCTTCTGTCCCAGCTCCAACTTTCAAAAATTATCTATAGAATACATGGGTGTAGAAAAATTAATACACTAAAGAGACCATGAAAATTATTTGATATGCTATATTTTTATCGAAAAATGTATCAGATATTACAATAGAAGTAATTGAAGATTCATATATAATATAAATGATAAAAACTCAATTTAGTTTTGATAATGTCAAATAACAAATTCATCAAGAAAACAATTTCCATCATTTACCCCTGGCTGAAATGAAAATTAAATAGCAACTCTTATTACTCGAGCCAACTTAAAGAAAATATTACTAATGGGGAAATTCAGCATAATAGTCCAACAAATATGATTCTACATTTCACATAGAAAACAAAAGTGAGCCTGTAATCACAGTATGAAAGAAAATATACATTAGCTGTTAAGAAATATGAATAAGAGAAACGTAAAAAAAAAGTCATTCGAATTAAGTTTAATTGAGCACTTCACAGATTCCTTGTGCAGTGCTAGAAACACTGCGTAATCTACTTTGCCTGGCTTCGAAAGGCAAAAAAGATACAATGACACACAGGTCATGATTAAAGAAAAATTACATGGTGATTTGTATGGAATTGATTCCAAGTTGATTGAAGAGTTTAGGTATGTTGGAGAAATCAGAGATGGCTTAAAGGAGAAAACCAGAGGAGGGTTTGGAAAAGGAAGTTAAAGTCTTTCCAGATAGGGAAAAAGCTTGATGAAACTCAGGAGATTGGAACCCCTAGTTGAAAATTTGCTGCATATGGTAAGTGATTAAGTTAGACTGGAAGAGATGAGTGCTTTGTCAGAGTATAAAGGTCGAATTATTAGGGCTGAAACTTGGTGATATCATTCAGATGAAACAACATGGAAGATAATGAGATATTGTAGGTTCTGCCTTAAAGAATGGAAAAACTGTATTGGTATTTTACGGTAAGTTAACTGAATCAGTATAAAGATCACAATGATATGGAAAGAGGCTACTGCAATGATAAAAGAATAAATTTTAGTATTAATTAAAGTAGTGACTAGGGAAAGCAGAGCCAAAGAGAAAATGACTTGAAATCAGAATTAAGAGCATCAACTGCTTATAAGAGCTAAAGAAGAGAAGATAATCAATGATGATTTCATGATAATTTATCCAGTGTCTATATGGTGGTTCCACTGACAGAAATGAAAAGCTGGGGAAACAAACAAACAAACAAAACAGAACATTTTACAGATGATGCATTTACTAACTCTGAGATGAGAGTGAAGCAATAACTGAATTGTCTTTACAACTGATAGTATTGATAAAATATTTGATAGATTTTGAATTGCCTTTAAGGTAGAGAAGAAATATTTAAACCCTTAAACCATTAAGATGCCACAGATCTCTTCCAAAACTAACATTTTATGTTTCTATGTTAAGTCAAGTAACAGCAACAGAAAGATATTGGAAAGAGCAAATATTAATTATTTAGGTTTCATAGCCCATTTATTTCCAAAATGATGCAGTGAGGGATCTATTAACATAATGTAAAAAGGGAGGAAGATGATCTAAAGCAGCATTCTGCAGTAGAAGATATGTGAGCCACAAATTGCAAGCCACATACACAATCTTAAATATTATAATAGTCACATTAAACAAGTAAAAGAAAACAGTTAAGATCAATTTTAATAATGCTATGATATATCCTAATGTATTCAAAATATCATTTTAATATGTAATCAATATATATCTTAGTCACTTAGATATTAATATATATTTTATAATATATCTTTGAAATCTGGTGTGTATTTTACACTTAAAGCATATCTCAATTCATACCAGCCGCATTTAAAATTCTCAGTAGATACAATACGGTTGACAAATATAGGAGTCTTTGCAGAAATTCTGTCAACAGATGCACAAAGTTCAAAGCAAAGATTATTAGTTCATTAGTTCTAATTTAGTTCAACATGAAACATAAGTGCAAATTAGACATAAATCAAAATAGGTAACCAGGGTAGAATTTTAAAACCATATAAATGTAAAATAACTCAGATTTAGTTTTTAAAGATCACCAGAAAATAAGGCATTTATTTAATGAAAAATAAACTTATTTTTTTTTAAAGTTTATATTGGATATAATAAACATCAAGATGGCAGCATTTAAATGACTCCCTGGGAATAAAAAAAGAAACAATCAAAAACTGAGAAGCAATGAGAAATAGCAACAGTAAAGGCAGAAAAGCAAGACCAAAATAAGGAAATAAGGAAAACAGAGCTGATGTATGAGAAAATGGAGTCCAACAATTACTAAGTCTTTAACTCTCCAAAAATAACTCAAATGCATGGAATAATATTTAAAAAACAATGTATATAACTCAAAATGGATCATGGACCTAAAAGTAAATGCTAATACTCTTACAAGGAATCGTAGGTGTAAACCTTTGTGACACTAAATTAGGCAACAGTTCTTTAAATATGACACCAAAAGCATAGGCAACAAAAGAAAAAAAATAGCTAAATTAGACTGACAAAATTTAAAGTGTTTGTGCATCAAAGAACACTAACAAGAAAGTGAAAGGCAACCCACAGAAAGGGAGAAAATATTTGCAACTCATACATCTGATAATGGTCTTGTATCAAGGATATATTTAAAAACTCTTACAACTCAACAGCAAAAAGACAAGCAAGCCAATTTGAAAATGAAAAGGATTTCAACAGACATTTCTCCAAAGAAGATACATAAGTAAATAAAGTAAATGAGTAAATAAAATAAGTAAATGAAAAGATGGTCGACATCATTAGTCATTAGTGAAACAGAAATCAAAACAAGCTAGTATTTCACATCCACTAAAATAGCTACCAAAAAAAAAGGAAAATAACAAGTGCTGGAGAGGATGCGGAAAAATTGGAACCTTTCATACAGTGCTAGTGGGAATGTATAATAGGTCACTGTGTAAAACATTAAGTGGTTCCTCAAAAGTTTAAGTCACTAATTGACTCAGCAATTTTACTCCTAGGTACATATTCAAGAGAATTATAAACATATGTTAACACAAAAAGTCATACGGGAATGTTCATAGCAGCATTACTCATAATAGTCCCCAAATGAAAATAATCCAAGTGTCCATCAACTGATCAAAACGTAGTATAGATAGACAATGAAATATTATTCAGCGATAAGAATGAAATACTGATACATGCTATAATGTGGATGAACATTGAAAATGTTGTGCAAAGTGAAAGAAGCCAGACATATGAAAGGCCAAATAATGTATGATTTCATTTATATGAAATAGGTAAATCCATAGAGATATAAAGAATATTAGATTGAGAATGAGGAGTGACTGCTTAATTGATATGTGATTTGAGTTAATGTTGTACATTTTAAAATGATTAACATGGTGAATTGTGTTATATGAATTCTATCTCAATAAACACACACACACACACACACACACACAAAACAACATACAAGAAATAGCTCAGTTGTGAAGAAATATAATTTGCCAAGTCTTGGAGAATTAATACTCTATAAGTAGGCTAACAAATTATTAAATTAGTAGAGAAAAATAAGCAAAAAGGACAAATATTATCAAAGAAGTAATAGCAAATACACAGAGAATAACCTATAGTTGAGTTACAATGCTGATGGAACAGACAAATATACAAGAAATATGAGATATTCTATTTTGAAAACTATGAATCAGAGAGAGACCCTAAGCATCCTAGGTAAAAGCTATGAAAAATCAGGCCATGTTTCAGGAAGTGGTTTAGGACTCCTGGCCATTCCAGAGCACTGTTTCTAAATCAGATTTTCCAAAAGGGCTTGAAAAAATGTAAATTCCTGGGCTCCCTGTCAGGACAACAGAATCAGAGTCTTGGGATTGTGGTCAGAATCTGAATCGTCAACAGCTTCCTCCAAGAGGATTTTTACATACCTTTCTATTGGAAAACCACCTAGGAAGTCTAGAACAAATGTCCCTATTTTTCCTTTTTACAAAGTTTTATACAGACTACTTTAGGTCGAAATGATGATTATCAAGTGCTTCTTTGATAGGTCAAAAAGTTTTTAAAAGGCAGCATCCTAATGGCTTAGAAAGTAGAGTCTCTTAAAAGTTAATTCCAAGTGCAGTCACTCTTATCACCCAATCCCAGGACTGGCTCTCGTCAGAAAAAGAAACTCACAAATTTTCACGATTCGAAATGGTTGAACACAATGTATACAAAAATTAGATCTCTCTGAATTAGAAAGAGTCCTAATCTTCTAACTTCTAGCAATGTTTAAAAGAGAAAATTGAGTTAAAACAGTTTGGAAATGCTGATGGTCAGAGAGAGGGGGTGGGGGGAAGGGAGGGAGAGAGATGTAGGTAAAATAAAGTATTAATAATTTAATAAACCAGGATATGTAAATAGAATTGTTGCACAAATATAAACTGGTGGTAAAGGTTGAGCACAAGGACTCTGGTGCTTGAATGTCTGGGTTCAAAATAGAGCTAGACTATCACTTACTGGGTGACCTTGACCTAATTTGACTTTTCTGTGCCCCACAGAGCTCTCATGTCTACAATGAGACAGTAATACCTACAGCATAAGGTTGTTGTGAGGACTAAAGGAACAAATAGGTATAAAGTGCTTAAAACAATACATGGTACACATTGTATGTTTGCAATAGTTAAAAGTAAAAGTCTTTTTGTAAATCCAGATGGCACCCTAAAGTTTCATTGTCTAAACCCCTTAGTTTATAGGCCTCAAAGAAGTTATTATAAAATGAGAATAGAAACCTTTATAAATTGATAAGGTCTGAAAAAACACATTCCCAACATCTTGTTTTATTTGCCCAGTTTCTTTGATTGCCCTCCCATACTTTCCTTTTAAAATTATCAATTATAAAAGTAAAGGCAATCTACCTTTGAAACTCCTCTTGCATTCCAAGTTCCTGATTATAATTGGTTATAATTTGAAGACCTCGATTATTTATCACTGTTAACCCACAATTATATACCCACAATTGCATGCTTCCATTATTGAAAAAAAATCACAAAGAAATGTTAAATTAAAAAAAAAAAAAAAAAAACCTACTGTTGTCTTCCTATATAACTGTTGAATACTAGGTTTCAACAAAAATGTATAGTGTCTGAATTCTTTTTTAACATCCTTCAGGAAAAAAAACAAAAATTTCTTAAAAACTGTCTTTTTCAAATTTATGAATTGTAGCAACCTCCACTTCAGCAGCCACCTTCATGTAAGATAGGACCATTTTTTACTGCCACAAGTGAAAAATCTAATAGTTATTTATGCAAGTCCTGGCAAAAACTATTTTTCTAAAGAAAAAGTTTCTAACCTAACATTGGTGGTTTTTATTAAAATGGCCACTTTACATTTTAGAAATCAGATATACAGTGTACAACCATTACCTAATTGATTCCTCCAACTCTTTTTCGAGGGTCTCTAGTACTAAGTTAATCTTATAATTTTATAGTCCATAGGCAATTTTGGGGTATTATGACTAATATCAATGGTATTTCCACAATTCTGACCAAGTCATCAAATTAATGACATTATGGAATGATGATCCATTTTGTAATAGTCAGTGATATCAGCTCTAGTATTCTTAACAATGTAGTGCAATATTGTTGTGACTTAGAGTAACTTTAATTTGTATGACACTACTAAAATTTAGATTAAGGGAATCAAAGAATATAAAACAAATATTATTAACCTATTGAACCAAATACGCAGCAACATATTATAAAGTACTGACTGATAAATTTGGCCAGCAGCTGACTAGAAGAGGAACAAGGTACATCGAAGACTGTGGGATCTGTATGTCTAGTTCCCTTATTCTGAGTCAGGCTTCCTGTTTTTCATGCTAGTATTATAATTGTTTCCATATAAGGGAATTACTCTTTTCTTTTTAAATTTACGTATTGTCACTTTATATTCGTAGGTCAGGCTCTCCTGTAATAGATATAACCATTAGAATAATGAAAAATTATTCATTTTAATATCTATTGAGTGCTTGGTATATTCGAGGGATTATACTAACCTTTTTAAAAATAATCTTTTAAGTTGTTCAAAGTTAGGAACTGACATCTATTTATATAAAATTTTATATTTAGAAGTTGGTATCAAAGATAACATCATGAAAAGGCCACACTGGGGAAATGTAAATGCAACAAATTTTATGTTTGCTATTTGATAATGGTGATAGAAATAGTTTTAAATCATTATTGTTGGATTTATTATTTTTAATGGTATTAAAAGTAACTGTTCAAAATATCTTTATTTTCTTGTTTCAACAAAGAATGGCAGTATATTTTGGTATATGAAACCTAGTGCATGAGCTTCTAATTCGATTATATATATCAAGTTTACACAAAGCCATATGTATGAAAGGGGATCTTTTAAAAAAAACTTTATTTGAGAAAGGAAGAGACTTATAACAGAAGGCAAGAAGAGAAACATACAAACAATATATTTACAACACAAAACAAGATATCACCTTTAAGGGTGTAAATTATAATAAATACAGTAGATTTTAAAAGAGACAATTATCAATTAGTTCTAAAATTAAGTCCAGCTTTTCTTTTCACTGGTTCCAGGTAGTTTCTTGATTAAATTCAAAGACTATCAAATTCAAACAATTAACGTCCACCAACTGTACTGATGAAGCTCTCTCAAATGACATTATAAAAAATAGGGGTTTTTTTTGTTTGTGATTACATATCTTTTAAGTAATATACAAAAGTCTGCTCAGCCACATGTTCCTCCCCAAATAAAATGTATTTTAAAAGATGCACTATCCCTTTTTTATTAGATTGAAAAAAAGACTTTAAAGAAAATGTATATTTATGAGATGGAAAAAATATACAATTTTATGCTAGGAATGCCATATTTTTAATGCAAAAACAACTGACAAAAAGTCATTTTAATATGAAGGAATAGACTAACCAAAATATGTTGGTAATAGGAAGTGTTGCCTATTATAGCTGTTTGTCAAATTATCAGAAGGACTTTCATTATATGGAAAATTTTAAACTTTCTAACTTCTAGTTATGTTAATTTAATTTCAATGGAGACTTTTTAAAAAAGGATAATGTATCTTTATCAGTAACCTTTTTTAAAGAAATATTTTTAAATGTCACAGCAAAATGTAAACAACACGTGCCAATAACATACATTTGTACAATGTCTACATTTGGCAAAACTGCTGAATCTCATTTGTAACAGGATACTACACTTTAAAATACCTCAGATTTAGAAATATAAATATTTAATAGAAAAAAACTCCACAAAGATTCTAGGTCAATCTGGATTATCCATATTAAAGGGGTCTTAATACAATGAATCTTTAACTAGTTTAACAAAAGTAAACCTATAAAACAAGGTAAACATATCAAAAGGGAGTATGAAGGAAATGTTCCAGTGAAAAGCTTCCTTAACAATTTCCCTACTTGTGGTGTTATTTTCTTAGACAATAAATCAATTCGTAGAGTGCCCTTTAAAAACAGAACAGAGTAAAACACTA